AATCATTTGCTACCCAGGGACCATATTACTATAGTAAGTGTTCAATAAATATCTGTTGTCTTAATGCGTGAATGGAGTTTAGGACATAACTGTGCTCCATAAGGTTTTCAGTGGCTGATTTTTCAGAAGTAGAGCACCAGGCCTTTCTTCCAAGGCATCTCTGGGTGGGTCAAACCTCCAATCTTCAAGATCTTAATTATTTGTGGCACAAAGGTACTCTGCATGGGTGGGGTCACCATGAATCTGAAGCAACTCTAGGACAACTGGAATAGTCTGGTATATAGTGAATGAATAAGATTTCAAAGCCCTTCTTTGCACCCGCTTCTGCACAGGCTTCCTCCGTTTTCTTGGGGATGTGTGCAGATGTCATGCATTCCTCCATTAAACGTGCAGTGTGGATGAGTCACGTGAGTCTGCTTCAAACAGATACCAGCTACTCAAGTTCAGGCAGTCTGAAGTATCAAAAAGTCTTCTTACCTGGGCTCGCTCGAGGTATTGAGACAGAAGTGTCCTCAGCGCAGCCAAACACGCTCTGCCAGCTCCCCGTCAGCAAAGGCGTGCTGTCGCAGGTGTTCGGCGGTCTGTCCTGGTACCTGGTTTACTGCGGTTTCTCTTCCTTGGTGGAAACCGTGCCCTCCTGTACCGTGTCGGCTGTGAGGAACACGTAGAGTTTGAAAAATTTTCAAAACTCTGGAGTGGGCTGGGCTAGGCTGGGTTTTGGAGAGATGGCCCCACAGCGATTGTCAGGAAATGTCTTAATAGGACCTGACCCTGGTTCCTTTCGGGCACTCTAGAGAGGTGGGATCTATGAAGTCTCTAAATTAAAAAATAAACAGAAAACAGGAAAAACAAAGCCAGGGTGCCAAATGTTAAAAATATTTCTGGTAATAAGAAAATTAAAAGTTTACTATTTAACCCAAGTGCATTATTTCCCAAGATCAAGATATTACCACCAACATTGGATCCTGGGTTGTCATTGCTCAGGGATGGTTCGGATTAACGCTCGCGTCGCTAAAGCCCCGAGTGCTGCGGCAACGCTCTGGAGCTGGGGCTGAGCTTCCAGGAATCCTCACCTGGACTTTGCTCAGTCCCTCTCTGCGAACGCAGAGGGACCAGGGTAAGTGGTAAGCGCCAATCACCTCGGTCCCTCTGAACACAGGCGACTCTCCTCCGGTCCTCCAAAATCCCGAGGGGCGGTAGAAGCATGGCAAGCCCCCTTCACCTCCAACCCACCACCACCGCGCTATTTAAGCCACGGTCTGGGCACTTTTCTATCTGTTCTGGACCATCTCTCAGTTCCTGAGGTCTGAGAACTGAGGCCTCTGCTTGCCTAAGCGGAGGGATGATACCTGGAAGGAGAGACGGAGCGTTGAGGCCAGGCAGGTGGGTGCCAGTCTGGGGACCCGGGACTTTGGGGCTTGGCTCTACCAGGCTGCATATGGAATGTTGTCCCCGCAGCTGAAAGGCGGGAAAAGGCCTGACAGAAGAGCTTACCTGAACCTTGGGCAGAAGGAAACTTTATTGAGCGTCTCTGTACCCGGAGCTGTGCGGACACTGGATACCAAAAGATAAGTAACACACAGCCTGCGCCCTGGAGGAGCTCAAGTCTGGTGGGCTGCTGGCCGCGACAGGGCTCTTTGCGAGGCTGGGTAAGAGGGCATGAGAAGGAGAGAGCATGGGAGGAACAGCATAGAAGGGTTCCTGGTACATCCCAGTAATCAAAGAAAGCTCCCCAGATGAGGTGACATCTTCAACTGGGACTTGGGGGACGGATAGGAGTAGGCAAAGAGAGGGAAAATGCACTCATGCAAATTTCCAGAGTCAAAAGAAGGCACACCCTGGAACCTGCTGGAGCGGCAGGGATCAGCAGATACAGTCCTGACCTCAGAGGCCTCTTCTTCTACTTTCTGCTGGAATAGTGTAGGTTCGCCGGCGGAATCCCTGTTGCTCATGGGCCAGGACACATGGCTGAGGCTAGCTGGGCATGCGTTGAGTAACTGCGCTGCGTAAAGAAGCGCGTACTGGATATTTGCTCAGATTCTCCAGGCCAATGTAAAAGCTGAGAGGCCTTGTCTTAGGGACGTCTTCAGCCTGGCGAGTGGCCTGGCAACCTTAGGCCGGAGCTTCAGGCTGTGGACAAAGTAGAAGTGTTTAGGCGACCTCTGTCTTCAGGCCTGTTCCGGCGGTAACCGAAGCTGATTCTCCCCAGAGACCACCCTTCCCGGACAATCTGCCCCACGGTGTAGGTTTGGTATGGAGGCAAGGTTCGGAGGGACAGTAGAGTTCAGTCAGAACATATGTTGGAGAAAGCACCAGCCCAGGCGCTGGGGGGCCTGGGAACTCTTGCATCCCGCCCAGCTCTAAAGAGATTTCGATAAGCCCGCGGCCACCGGGTGCTGTGTAAGGGATGCGCGCGTTTGCGCGATTCGCTTAGGAGAGGTGGGGATACAGTGGAGGAAAACGCAGCCTTCAACGGTGCATTCCTTCCCAGCACCGAGTTCTTGCCTCAAGACCAAGATGCGCATCGGGGACACCAGCGCCCGCCGAGGTCACTGAGTTCTCCAGGCTGCCTGAGGCTCCGGAACACGGGGAGGTCAGATGGCTTCCAGCGCAAAAGTTGCCACCCCATCGTTGCGCGCTCTTCAACACTGAGCACGAGAAGCTGTGAGAGGAGTGTGGGCCAGGAGAATGAAGAACCACAAGGAACTGAAGGAGGGCGCGTGCCTGCCCAAAGCTGCCTCGGGGGACCGGTATGGGTTGGCTTAGAGACTGACAGGAAAGAGAGAGTCTGGGACCCTATTCCAGATCCCTTCCTTGAGCTGTTTCCAAAGGGTTGGTTTGCGTTAATCCAAACCTCTAGGTGTAGGTTTGGTGTTCCCGAGGGTTCCAGAATGAGAGACAAACGGGTCACGGAAGACACTAGACCTCTCTGCAAATATGAGTATTTCTCTCGTTTCTTCCCACAGCCGCCGGGATCTCCAGGTGGAACTCGAATAGCGTGGCTCCTAGACCTCCGACACCTGGCAGGCTGAGCGCAGTGCAGAGCTGGTACTATCTGACTAGGGGTTGCCTTTGATTCTCAGAAATCCTCCAGGGATTAGACAAAAAAGAGCGACTATTTCCAGGGACCCGACGTTAAATGAAACTTCTTGCAGAGAAAACAAGGGTAGAGGACAGGACCAAGCCTTTTGGTGGAGGCCGGGGCTGGAACTGAGAAGAAATGTAAAGGCTGTGCACCTGCTGGCTAGTTAGGACACGCGAGGGTGGCGCTCTTGACGCCGCATATTCACTCAAGGGAAGCCTGTCTCGGACCCCAGCCTGAGCGAATCAAGAGCAAGCATGAGGATCAGTCTTCTGGTGCGGCTTATCTGCATGACCTGTTTTGGTGGCTCCGTAATCGGGTGAAGGGTTCATCGTTTGGCTTCAGCATCATGAAATCCTCTGATGAGCCGCAGCATGGGGTGAGGGGAAAAAAATAAGGGGTTTTTGAATCCTATACACGAAGCTTGGAATCCCGGCATCACCACTTTCCACCAGAATCACTTTTGGCAAGTCACTTAGCCTTTCCTAACCTCAGTTTATTAATCTGTAAAATGGGAGTAATGTCCACCTTTCTGAAGAACGCACTAAGGGTAAGAAATTCCACACTCCTTTCTAAGTGTAAGGAGAAGCAAAGTCTTGTATCAGACTTCATACACTACAAGCTAAAGAAAGACCTGCCTCCTCACTCCCTGCCTCCTCACTCCCTGCCTACTTCCCCTACCCCGACCCCTTCAGGCCGGCAGAGCGGCTAGCGCTTCTGGCGGGTCCTCCCGAGAGAGGCTAGTGCAAAAGCCAATAAACCTGGAACACACGCAGGTCCCACCAGGCCTGGGACAATAGTTTCCATTTAATAAATATTTTCCCCTAGGGCATTTCACATAGGGCAGGCAATTATTCAAAGGAAACAGGCGTGCAAGGTTGGCTCTGCTGCTTATTTCGTCCTCTTTACCAGAAGAATACCCATCTGACCCAAGAAACGAGCTTCTCAGCCTTGCTGGATGGGAAGAGGTGCCTAGGGACAAACCGACTCTGGGTGCTAAACTAATACAGCTTGAGACTGCGAAGAAGGGGCACCGAGAAGGCCCCCAGACCCTGTCTCCCGAAGACCTGCCTCCGTCCTGCTCTTCCCATTTAGGCAGTTCTGGAGGAAAAGTTGAAGCTTTAGGAACTCTGAATAATCGCAACATAAATAGGAATGGTGACGGAAATACCTGCCCCCTCCCCGAAAGTGAAGAGCGGATCGCGGTGCTCTCGAAGGCTCAAAAACTAAGGTTTGAAACCTCTGCACTGCCAGACGCGAGCCTTCCTGCGTCGGCTTGGAGAGCTCGCCGGTGAGACCCAAGCGCTTCTCGCCCGCGCGGTTTCCTAGAGCAGAGGTAGAGGCTGGGCCGCTGGGGCGTCCCAGAAGAGCGCGGCCTACGCACTGGCGAAGATCTGGTTGCGAAAGTTTATTTTTCTTTTTACCCCGAGTTTGATGTATTCTTTTCCAAGGATCTTTGACAAGGGGGCGGGGGAAGGGAGTGTTGTCCTTGCATTTCGTGGTGAGACTGTCCTATTAATCAACACGTGCTTTCGGCTCACTCCCCTTTGCAGCGCCCCTCCCAGAGGCTTTGTATTCGAAGCCCCCATTCTTCCTGGCACAACCAGGAAAGGAAGCAGGAGGCGAAAAGAGTTTTATTTGTTGATAGTGCCAAGGATAATGTGGAACCCAAGTCCCCAGTCCTGCACTGAACAGTGTTCGCTCCCTCTTTCTCTCTGCCTGTCTCTCTCTCCCTCACATCACCCACCACCCAGTCGCACTCGCTCTTTCCTCCGCGGGCTCGTTGGCAGGTGCGCCCCCTCCCCTTCTCTGTCGCTGATTGGGCGTCCAGGTTGGGGAGTCGCCGCCCAGCGCTTATGTCAGAGTGCGTGCCGTCTGGGCCCACCTCGCCTTTGAACTTCGCCGCTCTTGGCTCTGGTTCTCCAGCCTCCCCGCAGTCTCAGCCAGGTGCAGTGCTGGGCAAGGCAGCTCCTGGAAAGCCACTGGAAGGGGGGAGCCACGGCCGGAAACGCTGGAGGAGAGAAGCAAGGAGAAAAGGCAAAGGTGGAGAGGGGGAGAAGGAGCAGCTTCCTGCCCTCGCCAGCAAATTACCTGACTGTTTAATATCCGAGACTCCGGTCCTTGGGCCCCAACCTCTGCTACCCACAGCCAGCCTGCCTGCCGCCCTCTCCTCTCCCGCCCTACCCGCTCCCACTCGCCCCCCGGGGGTTGCCTGGGTGCCTGGACTGGCATGATCAGTTAAACTTTGCGAAGTCAGCTCTTCTCCCTGGCTTCCCACCAGCGGCGCCAAGGCCACAGGAGCGCAGAATCTCGGCTCAGGACGGATAGACAGAAGGCCAACAGCGCCCAGGCTCGCCCGCGGATCCCCCGCACCCCGACTCCCCATCCACCCAGCCGCCTGGACCATGTCCAAACCCTCAGACCACATCAAGCGGCCCATGAACGCCTTCATGGTATGGTCCCGGGGCCAGCGGCGCAAGATGGCCCAGGAAAACCCCAAGATGCACAACTCGGAGATCAGTAAACGCTTAGGCGCGGAATGGAAGCTTCTGTCCGAGGCAGAGAAACGGCCGTACATAGACGAGGCCAAACGGCTGCGCGCCCAGCACATGAAGGAGCACCCAGACTACAAGTACCGGCCGAGGCGCAAGCCCAAGAACCTACTCAAGAAGGACAGGTATGTCTTCCCCCTGCCCTACCTGGGCGACACGGACCCGCTCAAGGCGGCGGGGCTGCCCGTGGGGGCCTCCGACGGCCTCCTGAGCGCGCCCGAGAAAGCCCGGGCCTTCTTGCCGCCCGCCTCGGCACCCTACTCCCTGATGGACCCTGCGCAGTTTAGCTCAAGCGCCATTCAGAAGATGGGTGAAGTGCCCCACACCTTGGCCACCGGCGCGCTGCCCTACGCCTCCACCCTGGGCTACCAGAACGGCGCCTTCGGCAGCCTCAGCTGCCCCAGTCAGCACACGCACACGCACCCGTCCCCCACCAACCCCGGCTTCGTGGTGCCCTGTAACTGTACGGCCTGGTCTGCCTCCACCTTGCAGCCCCCGGTCGCCTACATTCTCTTCCCTGGTATGACCAAGACTGGCATAGACCCTTACTCGTCAGCCCACGCAACGGCCATGTAACCTCCGGCCCGCCTGCCTGACTTGAAGGGAGGCCTGGAAGCGGGGTCTGCACCCTGTCCATTGCGCCTAGCTGGTGCCCGCAGACGCCTCGGGGTCAGCCCTGCCACCGCCCCAGACTCTGCCTCTCTCTTCCAGGGGAGAAGGCAGGGGTGCCATCCCGGACCCAGGGCACAGACAGGTGCCAGAAACTTGCAAACGTTATGACAGCTACACAGCTGTCCTTACCCCGACTGTCCCAAAACAAATCTTCGACTGTACCCCCTTTGGACAAAAAAAAAAAAAAAGTAGGCAGTTTTGCTTTCTCTCCTCGGATTGGCTTTGGACTCCGAATTTCAGATCCTGGTATTATACCTAGAATATGCACATATATATATATTTTTTTTTTCTTTTGCACCACGAAGAAAAGAGTTAGCTGTGTCTCTGTGTTTTGCTATCAGACACAACTAGGCGCCATTTGCTCTTCATGTGTGGGGGTAAGGCTTAAAATTTTAAAACTACAGAAAGGGAAACATTTCTATTTGAAACCATGCTATGATAGTGTTTGCTTCTTTAAAGGGAAACCTAAAAGGACCCACATGGTCATTTACTTTGTGTAAAGCAGTGCTCCTAGAGACCTAAGTTTACTTTTAGACAGAATGTCGGGTTATGAAGTCAGGAATAGAAAGTGAACAAGAACAACAACAAAAAAAAGTTAAAAGAATAAAAACATCCTAAATGGTCATAAATGTTTTGACGATGTCTTGGAAATGTACTTGGAAGGATTTTACCTCCTTACTCTGTTGTTCATTTGTTGAACAAAGACGTTTTGAATAAAGACAATCTGTCATCTCAAAAAAGTAACCTTTGATGTGCGTGAAATCTGAAGTCAGGAGGTCAGGTTGGCGGAGTCGGAGAGTGGGATCGTGGGGAGGCTGAGAGTGCATAGAGCCGCTCTAGCTGTGGAGATTGGCAGCTGGCCCACATGGACCCGCTATGGTGGCCTGTGGGCCAGGGGCAGAGGGGCTTCGAGTCTGGGATCTTTCCCGACTGCGCCCTTCGCACCCACTTTTTGCCTTTTGAGGCTGAACAAAGATATCAGTTCCCGGGGCATCACCCCTTCCACATGTTCCTTACAAAATGGTCTGACTACTTTCGAGAAGCCAATAAGACAAAGACGACAGAGACCTGTGAGATTAGGGTGTATTTTCTTAATTAAAATAAAACTCCAAAGGACTGGAGAGAGCATGGAGAACCAGTTGCGCGTCTAGCACCACGACTTGCTGAGGGTGTTTACCTTAAGTGCAAAGGGGAGATCAATGGAACCTATTTTTTCAGGTGTGTGGGAACGCTGCAGCCATCCTAAATAAAAAAATCTCGGAAACACCAGAAAAATGTGTCCTGTGACACCCAAGTCTGCAGGATACTTTTTACTAAGATCCTGTGGGAGCAAAGGTGGGAGGAAGACTATAGAGTCACGTCTCGGGCAAGGAGTTAAAAAGTATCATAAAAATAAAAAACCGGTAGCCCCTGGTATGTGACAAACAAGAAAAGCCCTTTTCTTTTCCCCGCTGGGGCGGGTGTTGCTTGAAGATTGCTGTTTCTTGTGGGGAGAGGGGACCTTGTGATGCCATCCAACACAACTCTTTGGAACTTGTTCTCAAAATCAAAGGGTGCTCATCGCGTCCACATCCCCCAACCCCAGCTTCCCCTTGAAAGTCGCGCTCACGCATGTTTTCCCGGAGATCTCGTGCTTCTTCCACTTGCTTTGATATGGTGCCCAGGCGGGCGGGTGGGGGGGCGGCAGCCCAGGGGCTTGTCTGCTTTCTGCTGCTGTTGAGGGATTTGTGCGCTTGCCTCGGCCGTTTCCAAAGGAGTCGGTGGCTTGAGGTGCACGGGAAACGTTGTTAACAGACACCGTAGCCAAAACCCGCGGATTACCATATTGTCCTCAAAACAATTAGGAATGTTTGAGGTGCAATTTGGAGCCTATTCATCCGAACCCCTTTGTCAAAGGGGGATTTTCATTATTAAAAAAAAAGAAAGAAAAGTTAGCAGTTGTCCATCTGGCTGAGCTGAATAGCAAAGTGATCCGTGTTGTATATGCTTTTCTCATTAAGAGCTCTTTTGAGACCGATGTTAGAATTAAATGGTATAACACAATTAACATACACGGGAGCTGAATAGGACGGGACGCCTATAAATAATAGATAAATAAATGAGCGATCAGGCGAAGGTAAACAAAGACGGACTAGGGGAGGTGTAGGGGGAGGCCGAGCGGGCTGCGCCACGCTTACTTAGCATCACAAAAACCTCTTACAAATCTAGACAATTAGGAAGTGACTTGCCTCTGGTGGCCGTCCGGTCTAGGGGCTCCCAGAGCGTAGGGAAGGCCCCTCCTCCCGCCCCCTGGGAAGCCCGGGAGGCCTGGGGCGGAGGAGCCTTGGTTTCGCTGTCTGATATAACCCCAACTGACAGTCCTGTCAGCCACTCTGATCTTTCTCATAGCTCAGTGTCCCTTAACATCTACTAAGATGAAGCTTACAGGGGTGTCTCCCCGCCGAGCCCGGCGCACAGGAGCCCTGGGCGCACACAGCACCCTAGCCTGAGGAGAAACGCCTCGCGCAAGGTTCCGCCAGGGCGCTCAGCAGAATCTGAAGCCGAGTTAGGCTTGGACTGGGCACCAGGCAGGCCTAAGCGAGGAAGGCCTCGGGCTATGGCAGAAACTGGAAACTGTACTCAGGGTCCCAGATTGTGCCGGCCCCTGGCGATTCCCGAGGACAACTCCAGGAAATCGGGGTGTGCTGTAACCGGGAGGCGCTCGTGAGCCGCGGCCGCAGGACTGAGCCTTTTTCCGGGCCGCAGTGAGCAGCAGCCCAGAGCGGGTCCCGAGAACTGAAGCTGTAGACCTGGCTCAGGACGTTTCTTTCCATCACACGCCGTCTTCTTCCTCCTCAGACGGCTTTCTCCAGCTACCTGCCCTCTTTAGACTAGTCCCCAGGCACGGCCGCCACTGGGACCTGCCGCTGCCTCGTCTCCCTGTCCCCGCGGGCTGCAGAGCCTCCGCCGCCGCGCGCGGCCGAGACTCGCCCTAACAAACAGTCCAAATCCTCCCCGTCACGCCACTGACAGGGGCAGATTACTGACTTTGAAGTCAAGCGCAGAGAAAAAGAAATTCCCTAGGGGTGGAGGAGGTAGGGGTGGGAAGCGGCCCCTGTCAAACCTGTTTGCTCACAACTGTCTCTTTCTTTCAAAAAAATCATTAAAGCAAACCTGTAAGGAGAGGAGCGCCCCGCCCGCCCGGAGTCGAGAGCCGCTTCTCGCGAGCGAGCGCAGCGCAGCCGAGAGCAGTCAAGAGTTGCCCTGATCTACTCTTGGCATCACCCGCGGAACCCGACCTCGGGCGGTGCGGGGGATGCTCGGGACCCTGCAGGAGCCCATCAGGCCGACCCATCTGCGTTCCTCCAGGGTGGAGCAGCGGGGGAGTCGCAGGGTTCTTCAGTCCGCAGCCCCGGCCTACTTCGTGCAAGAATGCCAGGGAAGACTTGTATCTCTCTTCTGCGGGTACGATTTCTTTCAGAAGACTCCCCCAAAAAAGATTCAAATCATGTCCCTCCTCCCTGCCTGCTCTTCCGCTAGGTGTTTCCTAGAACTGCCAGACTTGACTGACCAGCACCACGGTCAAGGTGGCAGCGAGTGGTTCCGGGCGGTCAGGGGCGGAGTTGTTTGGGTTTTAGCTAGACTTGCTTTCTTAAACATTGAGGACAATGACCCTCTGGCTTGTGGGCTCATTGGCCACATCCTCTGGGGGATGCAGAATTGGCCCGGTTCCACTCCTGGTCCCACGGAGGACTTCCGCAGCCTTAAATTAAGTACCTCTCAGCTTTGGGTCAGATTCCAAAAACCTTTGATTCCCTTCCAATTTCCGATTTTTCCCATTAAAGTGTCAATTTCCTCAGGACCATTAATTTTAGAGGTGGGGAAGGCTAGATGCTTAGAGTAAATCACACTCAAGTGTGAGTGACTGACATCCCAGACCCCTCCATTTGCATTTTAAAACGGGTGCTAGAGCACCTCCAGGAATCTCCCCTGAACCGAAGCTGGGGGATAGGTCAAGGAAACTTTCATTAATTACTTCCTACCAGCTAGGGAAGCATCCCCGCACCTCCAGTCTCCCTGGAGAGATCCGAAACTGCCAGGGCCCTGAAAAACTTGGCGAGCAGTGGCTCCAGGGCTGCCCTCGAGGACTCTAGTTTCCTTGGTCTGCTCCCTATCTCAGTCCTTGTCACCATTGTTCCAGCGGACAATGAATTTCAAATCATTTGAATTTGAGTATCATGTAATTCACAAAGATTCATGTTAAGAACTCTCATCTCTTTATTTGCTGAGTTGATTGTGCGTATGAGTATGAGAAAGAAAAAAGAGATTTTGGTACAGAAGATGCTGAGCGAGGGTTTCCTGCCTCCGCGGAGGGGCGCGGCCTCCTGGTCTCTGACTTTGCCCTAGACTCTGACACTCGCAGATCCAGCGAGAGCGAGGAGGTTGCTACTTGAGCCAGTGTCTTTTCTGGCTCTGCGGGGTTGGGCCCTGGCCTGAAACCAGAAGCACTGGCGCTGGACGGACGCAGAGTAATTAAGAAAATAATGAACCTGGGGGAAGATGAGGGGCGCTATAAATTCTGGGGCAGCGACAGGGAACCCAAGAGTAGATGTTGCCTCACCCTAACCACGGCTTTGTGCTTGTCCTAAGGCTGTGGCTTGGGAGCGTCCGCGGTGTCACTGGGAAGGGGACTTAAGGCAGAAAAGAGGGAGTCTTGCCAGGCCCTCCACTATCCCCGGTCCTGCGTCTCGGCGGAGAGGCCATCCGCGAACCAGCTCCTAGCCCCTGGGGCTGAGGTGAGGGAATTGTGCTCTAAGAAAGCCGGACGGACCGCTGGCCCGGAACGCTCTGGTCGCTTTGTCCAGATTCTTGGCCCGCTTTGCTCCAATCCTTGCGCTGGGCATCCTCCTTCAGCCCTGCAAAAGTCCGAGGTGTTAACTCGCGGGAATAGGGAAGGGAAGCGGTTCCCAGACCAGCCAGAGACCGAGAGGAGTCCGCAAGTTTTCTCCGTGCTACGAAGTGGAGGAGTTGCGCTACTCTGGCGGCCAGCGACAATTTGCAAACTTTTCCCACTCTTGGGATCGGAAGAGAAGCAATCCACACGAGATCCCTGCTAGGAAGCGACTTCAGAAAAACTCCGACTACCTGCCTGGCGTCACTTGACCGAGAGCAAGCCGGACACTGAGGGCCAGACCCAACGGCCGGGCGCGGAGCGACTCGTGCGCGGCACCCAGGTGGAGGCGCTGCTTGCTTGGGAGCTCCGGATGTCCCGGGGCCAAGCCCCATCTCCGAGCCCCAGTGGCCCTGCCAGTGCGAGTTCGGCGACCAAAACGAGGGGGAGCGGGAGAATGGTGGGAGCTGAGCCCTGTGGAGGAGCGAGCGCGCTGCACTCGCCAGGCCAGAGGAGGGTAGGGAGCCCAGCGTCCGAAGTACTGCTGGGCGGCTCCCCACTTCTCTTGGCCCGGCCAAGTCCCCTCAGGCTCGACTGAGGCCCCGCCCCGAGGACGCTTGGAGGAGGGAGGGAGGAGGGAGGGAGCCGGCGGCCGGGCGCTCGCCACCGGTCCCCGTTCGCCCGTCACCCCCCGTGGAGCGGCGAGTCAATGGGATTTGCACACTCGAGGTGTAACAGCATTACTGCATTAATTACCATTTTCATTTCACGTCCAGATTGTTTACTTATCTGCGGGAAACATATGTCGGGAGAAGTTCACATTCCGGATTCTGCTCCGCTGCCCAAGGTGCAATT